TATGATCAGAAAAAGTCTCTGTTAAAATTTCTCCTGGAGAGAGCTTAGTAGCCAGGTTCTATCTATTCTTGAGAAGGATCTGTCTCATTCTGAAAAATAGGTGTGCTCTCTAGAATTACCGTTTTTCTGTCTGCATACATCCACTAACCCTAAATTGTCCTTCAAATTAAAAAAAAAAAAAAAACTTTTGGTAATCTACCTTGGGTGATTTTAATATTTTTCTCTGATGTTCTTTCCGGTTGTGGGGAGATCACTCTATTCCAATCCTTATCAAACACCAATTTTCATAAGAAAAACCTATTAATCTCTCCATAAATTGTTTATAAAAGGTCAGTTCCTAGTACCATAGTCTTAACCCTGTGTAAGTCAACTTTCATCCCAACAAATCTACCGTGTTTGTCAGTCAATACAAGTTCTGGTTTTAGTTGGGAGTGAATAATATAGAACAACTCCATTTCTTTCTTTTTTTGGGGGGGTCCTGCTGAGATAAATTCTTCACCCAAATTTTTATAAATCAAATACTTTGTATTCTTTTTCCTAATATGAATCTCTTGTAAGCCAATTATGTCTTGTTTAATTTTTTTTTAAGTATTTTTTTTCTCTTCTGAGGAGTACGTGCTCCGTTTATAGTCCACGTTAGATATTTGTAATCCATAATCAGGCCAAGAATTTAGAAAAGTCAGTACCGGTAGCACCTTTTGCAACTGTTGTGGTTTTTTTATAATCTCTTCTGCAACCTCCATCTGGACCTCTTCCACTTCTTTAAATTTTTCTAAAAATTCTCTCGCCTTTTGAACAGAATTCAGTCAAAATCTCTGCTGCTTAAAAGTAAAGATCACATCCTCTAATTTGTCCCAGTGAAATGGAACCTTTTTCCGCTTTAATCTTTCAGTCAAGAAAACATAAAGGAGAATTTTATCTAGGATTATATATTGTGAAAAGTTATCTGAGGTGTTGTTAGAAGCCTTTAAGATACTTCTTTAAAAATGTAACGCTTCTGAAGTATTGTGTTAGAGCCTGATAACTCACATATAATTGTTTTAAATAAATGTGTCTTAACTATTTTAAAGAAGATAGTGGAAATCTGCAGCCTTTACAAATACTTAGTCTAGAAAATGTTATATTTTTCAATAGTCCAGCAGAAGAATTGCATTTTGGGTCCAAAGAAACTGCAGAGAAGAAATGCTTGATAGTTCTAACAAACGTGACTAAAAATACAGTGGCATTTAAGGTAAATAATACAGTGTTTGTTGAACTTATTTAGATGGCCGATGGGCGACATATAAATTTGTTTAATAAAAAAATAAAAGTGAGTAATACCCTCCCCCCGGATTTCCATTTTCCCACTGCCACAATCAGTCATGATTGATGATGTCACTGAGGATGCTCATTCCTCCCAGAGCTTTGAAGAGAGGAGCATCCAAATTTGCATGTATGGTTTTAAAAAGTATTTTCAATAATGGGGTTCAGAAATCTGATTTTTCTCTGTAGGGCTATGGGTGGTGCTGTATTCACCAATAAAGATTTGTGTAGCTAAGTAATCATTCCCTAGCTGGAAGAATCCTTTGGGCAGAAGTGGGCAATTATCATTACTTTTTTGCCATGCTGGTATATTTCAAGGAAAATCCAAATGAGTGCTATAGAAAGAGATAGTTGATTTACTTGCACTGAGTTTGGTAATTCTTAAGACTGTTATGGTGGAGCTTATAAACTACAGAGCTAAAGAGGTTACATTCAAATTAACTGAGTACTAAATTACAAAATGCATGTTCTAAAAACCTTTCTAAAATATTTGCCTTCATACCTTATGAAGACATGAAAAAATCAAAACTGAACTGCCCAGCTTCTTTTTTTAATGGAAATAGGTGTCAAATATAAAATGTTTTATGGGAGAACTGATTGTTCTTAATGGGATTATACTTCATATAGGTGAGAACGACTGCTCCTGACAAGTACAGAGTAAAGCCAAGTAACAGCAGTTGTGAACCTGGCACTTCAATAGACATCATTGTGTCTCTTCATGGGGGTAAGTAGCAAACTGCACTGCCATTTACACATAGAATGCGTACATTGTCTAATATACTCTGCCTTGAGGAAGCTTGACATACAGAAGAGTTCTGGAAAGAAAGTACTGTTCAAATCAGATCACGGGTTTAAACTTTATACAGCATTTTTTAACTTGTATCTTAATTAAAATAAATCAGTTCAATTATCCCCACATTATGTTTGTTTGGGAAGGGGGAAGAAAGAATCTCAAACCTACTTCTAATATTCTTGAAATAAAGTAGCCACAAAATGGTAAAATCTAAATTCTCAGTCTTTTCAGTTACCTATTACTCCCTTCTTAAAAAAAAAAAAAAAAAGGGCAGTTTATTGATATTTAATATCATTCTTAAAATACATCCAAGGTTTTTTGATTTCATGAAAATAAACTATAAATATGCATGCGATTTCAAGTTATGAGCTATTTAAAACAATATAAATTTGAAAGTCATTTTTAAGCTTAGAAAAACAAATTTGTTGAACCCTAGAGAATTTAACAAATCAAATTATGATGATGGTGTTTAATATTTAAATATTCTTCAGTGCCAGATACTATACAAAAATATAAAATATCTGTGTGTAAATGTGCCCTGCTTACTTTTAAAACGTTATAGCAACTTGATTTTAGAAGAGGATATTTGACATGCCTTTCTCACTGATAAATTTAAAATATAAAACAAATTTATCTCAGGTGATTAAAATGATTTAGGATATTATAATGGCAAAATAAATAAAATAAAAATCCATTTTAACCCCATCTCTGTTTGTTCTAAATAGATTTCTACATTGAAAACATTGGTATTTCAGACAATTAACTTAAAAATTTAAAACATGTGAGTCATCTTATTGTCCATCAGTCTTCTAAGATCATCCTATCAGACTATGTTCTTTCTGAAGTTTTGTACCTGGTTAAATACATCATCACGTTTAGAGTCCATAAAGTCTCCAGATTTTTCTCTTCCCATCTTCTACTTGAAGAGTTTTCTGAATTTTGGAAGTTGCATGTTTTTGCTCAGTATTTCGCTGTGCTACATTTGTTGTAGTAAATTAATCATGTATACATCTATTAAAATTTAACGTTTCTCCCTATGGACTATTGATTATGTCTAAATTAAGTACAATAATTTTTATTAAACTGTCTGTTGGTTGGATAGGTTGTGCAGCTTCTTTGCAAGACCGTTTTCTAATTATGGCAGCAGAAATGGAACAGTGCTCTGGAGTAGGAGCACAGGAACTATCTCAATTTTGGAAGGAAATTCCCAGAAACAAAGTGATGGAACATAGGTAAACATTTCATGTTGACTTTCAATTTAACATCATTATATGCCTTCTTCCAGGATGTTGTCTGGCTTCTCAGTCTTAACTTATTTCCTGGTGGTTTCCTATCCAAGTATTAACCAGGTTGGACCCTACTTACCTTTTGAGACCAGCCAAGGTTGGCTAAATACTGCAAACCTAGCTTGATATAAAATCATAACATGTGTAAATTGTTAAAAAGCAAAACTGTGATTGAGAGATGTAAACAGTTCATAAAGAAAAAAGGCTGTCTTTTTCCTGGCTCCACTGAGCTTTGGGGAAGGGAGGTATTTCCATGTATATCCTGTCAATAAACATTCTGCAGTTTCCCTTGTGTCTTGTTTTCTCTTACTGCATTTCGTGTGTACACTGTAGAAAGAGAAGCCTAGGTAAAATTAACTTAATCGCTCTCATCTCTTCAGTTTGTCTTACCCATTTTCTCTCTCTGTCTCACACACACACACACATCTGTGTGCTTGTGTGTGTTTTGCATTCATCCAGTTCAGTACTGTTTCACCTGCAAAAAGAGCTGGTATATTTCCTTCTTGTGCAGAGAGCCTTGCCCCGTTCCCATGACCTGCTTAGTGTACCAGTTCAGTGTCCTTTTGTTGATGCACTGATTTTCTGGATGTTCTTCACTTTTATTTCAGTGCCACAGGGTATAAGAGTGAGCAGAAAAAGAATTACATTATCAAATATGAAAATCATAATGATAAAAAAAATAAAAAATTGGAAACCCAGAAACGAATATAACTATAATTTGCAGAGCTGTACTAAAAATAATTGCTTTCTATTTGTTTCAGGTTAAGATGCCATGTTGTAGAAAGTAGCAAGCCTTCTTCTTTAACTATAAATGAAAATGCCTTTAATAGTCCTTCAAAAACTAATGAAGATTTGCACTTTCAGGTAACATAATGAACATTATTATTGCTTTTCATTCAATTATTATGCTACCATTCGACTCCTTAAGTACAGCTAAGGAAATTAAAAACTGGGATTTTTTAGTCTACCCCACCCCCCAAAGTCTCTTATATTCTTGAAAAACCAGTCTCTAAAAGGTTGCTTCCAAAGTGCAGACAGAATGGAAAATCAGCTGCCTTCCATACTACATATTACCATATTTTTCCAACTATAAGACGATACTTTTTTCTAAAATCCTTATCCTAAAAATTGAAGGGCGTCTTATTCAAGGAAGTCAGCCGAGAATCGCCCGGTTGCAAAACTGCCCATACTTTGTTTCTGCAGAGAGGCTTCCTCCTATTGCTAGCCTCCCATCATGAGCGAAAAAGCCT